GCCACTCCCTCGGTGTGCTCGTGGTTGTCCTCTGCGTGGCCGGAATAGATTGTTGTCTCTCCAGTAGGTAGTAGGCACCTTCCAGTTCCGTTCCATCTGTTCTCGCAGATTCCCAACACTTCTATTCTGTACCTTCTCATTTCAGCGGCTATCTGGGCAGCCTTTCCAGTTTCGTACATTGTGCGAACATTCCAGGTACCCATCCTTACTTTTGCTTTCATCGAAAGAAGGCACATCGGCTGACTGGCTTCCCGAAGGCTTTCACCAGCCTGCGTCATTTCACTTCCCCGATTCCAGCGAAAAGTAAGGCTGTTGATTATGTTTTTAGAATTTTTAATATATTTATTCGTTGAAGTTTCTGTAGCGATTTGGTTGTTTTACAGGGGTGGAGTTGCTAGCACCACGCCCCAACCCTCCCTCTTTACCCGGGCTTGGGACCGGCGAGAAAAGTAGTAAGCTAGTAGCCTAGCAAGCTAGTATCTGGTGAGGTCATCTGCATATAGTATTGGTTTACCAACACTAAAGCATTCATAGATACTGTTTATATATATTATGAATAGGAGTGGGCCTAATACACTTCCCTGGATTACACCACTACTTACTGGTTTAGGCCTTGAGATTATCGAGCCAACTTTCGTTATCTGACTTCGGTCACAGAGAAATGATTTTATCCAGCTCAGGAGAGGGTCACATATCCCTAGTGAGCATAACCTGCTGACTAGCAGATTATGGGGGACTCTATCGAAGGCTTTTGTTATATCGAAATATAGCACAATTACTAGTTCTCTGTTGTCCCTGCTTCGTGTAACTTCGTTGAAAAAGTCTATGTGACAGGTCACACATGATCTCTTTTTGAGGAATCCGTGTTGTGATGGGTTGATAAGTTCATGTTCTAGTAAGTTGTCTGACACTTGGTCTTTAACCACTTTCTCCATTATTCGTGATATTACCGGTGTTATATTAATAGGTCTATAGTTGCATGCACTGGTTTTGGCCCCTGCTTTGTGCTTAGGTAATATGTATGTGGTTTTCCACACTTCAGGATAAGTTCCAGTTTCCAGTGACAGAGTAAATATTCTAAGTAACAAGACTACCATTTCCGTGCTACCATTTTTGTATATGACAGATGGTATGTCGTCTGTTCCAGTACTGCCATTTGACTTCAATGTCTTAATCGCTGAGTCTATATTTTGTATATTAAAATCTATTTCTCCTAATTTGTGGTTACTTTTGCAGGTCATTTGGAAATTTGGGGTCGGGTGCACTCTGGTGTCATTGCAAAACCACTCACTGAGGAGTTCACTTATAACCTGGGGATCGTTGTATATTACACCCCTATGTTCCAAGATGCTTACATTATTGTCTTTACTGCTTTTTAGACGTTTTTGCAATATCCTACAAAGTTCCTGAGTTTTGGTGTTACCCATTAGCGCTTTATTTTCCTCATGTTGTGACTTCATTTTGTGTTTCTCTTCAAGCAGTTTAAGAGTTTCATGTATTTGGTTTAACGCATTAAATTCCTTAAATACATGGTATTTCCTTTCAATTTCTTTAGTTTTAGTCGCGTTTTCCGGTCAATAAATGGAGTTGGTGTCTTTAGGGCAGATTTTAGGGGCGCGATTGTGTCTCTTGCTGAGCCAACTGTTTTGTAGAAAATCTCAAGTGATACTTCTAAGTTATTGTTGATGAAGTATTCTTCCCAGTCAGAACTTCTCAACAGATCTGATAGGAATTCCCAATCAGCATTCTTATAGTCCCTATATTGATAGCGCACCGGGGAATTTTTAGGTGTGTATTTAGTTGTTAGTCGGAGGGGTAGCGTGCAGTACAATATGTTGTGATCACTGTTATCGAGTTTATTTCCCACCTCTATCGAGATGGGCTCTATGTTATGACAGAGGATTAAGTCAAGAGTATTTTGGTTCCTTGTAGGGAGGCGTACGCACTGCTTCCATCCTCCTATGTCTATAGCTTGTAGTAGCTCTTCATGGATTCTTGGTCCTGTACAGGTATCCCAGTTTACTCCAGGTAAGTTGAAATCTCCACATACTACTTTGTAGTCGAAGTCCAGCGTGGCTACATGCTCTAGTATTTCTGCAATAGTTATATCAGTCATTTCAGGGCTATTGGGGGGTCTGTATATACATCCCACGAGAATTTTACTTTCGTTTGTGTGGATGCTTATCCACTTAGATTCTGGGAGTTTGTCAGTATTTGGGTTATTGAAAGTATTGGAGTTAGTGGATTTATAGGCATATATTAAGCAACCGCCTCCTCTTTTGTCAACTCTATCGTTCCTATAGATGTCGTAGTTGTCTATTACTAGCTTTGTGTCAGGTATATCAGTAGTAAGCCAGGTTTCAGTCACCATTATTAGTGTTGGCCGTTCTATGTATGCCAGGCAGCGAAGCGTTGTTATTTTATTAAGGAGAGATCTAGCATTCAGGAGCATAATTGTTAGTAAACCAGAGTTATTGGAGGAGAGGTTAACATGGTTACTTGTCACTATCCCTACGTTATGTTTGGAGGGGCTCTGAGGTGAGACAGAGTCAGTGTGTGTACTATTTCCTGGATGAACTGTGCAGCGAGTGGGGCTATTGTTTGCTGCAGCCGAAAATAATCCTGTTGCATATTTTGACTATTAGCATCCATGGGTCGGCATCTGCGTTCATCTACTGGTGATATATGGTCTGCCCTGCAATTTGGGTTGTAGTTTGCTGGACCTAGGTACCCTGTGTTAAGATTACCCTGGTAGTTGTACCTCATGGGGCTTTCATAGCCGTATGCATATTGGCTCACGTCACGTGTGTGAGTGAAGTTATTGAGGGGATCAAGTGTCGACCTGTTCTCATTATGTTGATGAGGTTTAACATAGATAGTGCGAGAGTTTGGACGAGAATTTTCGTTAATATGGTGCCTATATGAGTCCCGTTTAGTGCTCCATATATCCTGAGGATCCATTCTACGTTGCATTCCCAAGTTATGTGCGTTGTTAGGCATGTTACTTCTAGTTCGGGAAGGGGTATTCCTTCTCACATGCTGCGTGACGTCTTTGGGAATGTGCTTCGTTACCCATGCTTTGTCATTTTTTAGACTGACACGCTGCTTATTAGACTTATTACGAGGGAGGTATGTCGAAGTCTGGGGTGGGACTCTGGGTTTTGTGGTCTTTTTTGCGGTTTCTACTGAGGGACTCTCTGGCTTGGATCCAGATTGAGTGTGGTCTGCCAGTAGTTTCTGGTCAGCCATAGTTTGTGCGTCTATGTCAACCTTATGTAGGTCAGCAGGTTTTCGAGATGTGCTCTCGTGCACTCTAAGATTGCACCCAGTGGCACTGCTCTTACTGAGTTTTGGGTCGCTCTTACTTGCCGTTTTTTCTCCTAACACTATACACGTGACTTGCTGTGCTTCAGTGTCCGTCGACACTTTAGCACTGATACCAGATGTATTTCTCAGTGTTGTCAACTTTGTATCGAAGGAGTTCTTGGTTGCTTGCCTTTGGTTTGGTGTTTTATCCGAGACTACTTTAATAGTCTTGAATTTAGTGGCAGTAGCCAGAAGATCTTCGGCCATCTTAAATCGTTCAGCTGTTATGTAGCTGTCGAACCTAAAGAGTATAGGACAAGGATGCTTTAGGTCTTTTTTGCTTAGGCGAATGCACTGACAAGGTGCATTCAAGAGATTTGCAGCCTTCAGCAATGAGTGCTGGACTGACTTTATGGGCTCGCTATCCGGTACATTATACACTATTGCGTTTTGTTTTGAAGCCAGCCTTTAACAACTTCGCTGGATAGAAAGTCGATGGCGTTTTCTAACTCCTTCGCACTTTTTGAGTCAGTATGAGTCATTCTAGAGGTCATATTAAAAAGCTTTAGGATTGTAGGATCCTGCAGTTCCTTTTTCATACGTGAGATAGTTTCGGGTATACATTCTAGTGAACTTAATTTCGTTTTTAATTCATCTATCTGTAGCTGCATCTCTTTAATTACGCACGTTAAGTAAGAGAGCTCTACTTTTTCAGACAGAACATCTTCCACCTGTATTACAGGGGTCAGAGTTATGTTCGAGGCTTTTATGTTGGGTGAACTACTAATAATATGGGGTGGTAATGTGTTATTAGACGAGCTGGTGCTATTTTCGAAATTAGTGGTGTTCACACGAACACGCTTTTTAGAATTTTGAACCATCGTTATTAAAGATCAAGTATTAGTAACCAATAAATGAATATAAGCGAAAAAACGTGCAAAAGCGTCACCTGATTCGAACGTACCGGGCGATGATATTTCTGTAATTATTGTAATGATATGCATGATGCTCAGCATGATGAGTCTGATGTTCACGCTTCGCCGTTTATGGATAGTAGTTCTTCAAGATTCCATAGGTTTGTACCTCGTTACTTTGATGGAAACCCAGCCAACTACCCACAAGGAGTTTGACGTCATGTTGAGTGGTTTTATTTTAAATAACGAAATGAAGTTAACGTATTTGTTGAGGTATAGCACGGGTGTAGTTGCGAGAGCCATACAGTGCTGCAAGTTTATGCCTCCGAAAGAAGGATATAAAGAGGCTATGAGGATACTACGTCAAAGGTTTGGAAAACCATTTATGATATCCCGTAGTATTTTTGAGACCGTTAAAGGTAATGTATCACAGTTAAACGATAATTCAGAGGAACTCGCAGAGTTCTTGGATAATTTATTGTTACTGAGAAATACTCTCGTTTATCTTAACAATATGGATGAGTGAACTCAAGTTCTGTGCTTGAGACAGTTGCCAAGAGATTACCAGTTCGTCTACAAAGGGAGTTCATAAAGATCAGCTCCCTTCTAGAAGATGGGCGTTTTTTGTTAATGCGAAGACAATATTTCTATATCTCTTTATGTGCTACACAAACAAACTTTATAGCAGAATGTTCCGACTGACTTTGATGTCAGAAAGAACAACCAAACTGTAAATCCATTATACATCAAATTTTGTGTAATTTATATAATAACTTATCCATGCCTGTACAATTGGTATGTTCCTGCATAAACAGGAAGAAATATATATTACTATCACTTTGGAGAACCCGGGTGGAATGACATTGTGAGCCTGGTGAAACACGGTGTCAACCAAGCTTTGGGCAAGTTTGCTGGTATACTGCAAACCAACCCTGGAATAGAGAAATCAGAGAGCGAAACGCAAACATCTATGGCGACAAGGTCACAGAGAAGTTGTCAACATAGTTGAAGACTGAACGATCAATTCATGGTTGTTTGCTCGAACCCAACTTCCCCGATAGTTTTCGCGGGTCATCAATCCGACAGTCATCGTCTCATCGTTCTCTGTTCAGAAGGAAGAGAGAAATCTATCAGAAGTATTACCGTGATTTATTGTTAAAACATGTAATCCTAGACCTTTTGTAATAGCATTATTGTTGGTTATATGTTGGCGTAGGAATAAAGGATTCTTGAGTCGCTAATCAGTGTTTTGGTTTTCGCGTTGGTTAGTACGAAGCGTTTCTGAAAGACTTAGAGGGACAGCTTGAGGTTCAGCGTAGTAAGAGCTGGACATTGACAGTTACTGAGAGTTGTCTGACAGTTTTTGATAGTTTCTGCTCTTCTTTCCTCGTGTCTGCAAGTCTTCTTTAGAGAAGTATTATCTGGAACTTTTCTGGAATTTTCGGTCAAGTTCAGTGATGCCTGAGTCAAAGAAGGGACAAAGTGTCTTGGAAGCAGGCAGGAAGGTAAGTAACTATGAGTTGCTTGTTAATTGTGATGATATGTATGATGCTCAACCCGATGAGCCTGTTGTTCATGGTTCGCCGTCTAGGGATAACAAGGGTTTGACAGAGAGAGGAACGGAGTGTGAATTATATCTCCTCCACAATTTGTGAGGTTCTTTTTATCGACTGAATGGTATTGAATGACGGGTACACTTTTGTGTATGTTACCTGGTTTCCTCGCCTAATTTGGGGATTAATTGTCCCTCGAATAGTCAGTGGGCTTCACCGTTGTACATGTTACCTAGGAAAAATGAGAATGACCTGTATCTTTTTGATGATTTCATAGCCCTAAATAATCAAGCCACCCCACACAGATAACCCCTGTCACAGGTTCAGGAGTTTACCGATAGTCTTCGAGGTGCCACAATATTTACTAAATTGACTTGGCCTGCTTCTATCACAATATTCTGGTTTCTGAAAAATATTTCCTAAAACACCCAATTTTCACCACTAGTTTGTCTTTGGTCTTCAGAACAATAATAATGTATATTTTCATACAAACATATAAATTTACATGAGAATGCATGCCATTTTTACAGGCACGATCAAGTATGATATAATATCAAATCGTAGATTGTCAACAAGTTAATAATGTTTCAACAGTTAAATATTTGATATATATATAAATACACATTGTCTGAACTAGGCTGTATAGTTATTGAATTGTACAGTTGTCCTCCAGGTTGAGCGGGAAAATCGACTTCGTTTCGTTTTCATCCCGTGGCTGTCGGCATACGATAACCAACCAATATTGAGGTAAGTACAACCTTTACATGGACTGGAAGCTGTTTAGAAAAGTAAAAGTGCTGAGGTGAATCAATAAATTGTAATGAAATAGGTAAGTGCAAGTATCATTAATAAATGCATTAATAAAGAAACTCCCTAGGCTGACAACGTTCATTTGCAATGTATAATGCTACACGTATACATAGTACTATCATGATGTCCACTTTTGGTTTTAATACATTTATCCTCAGTTGTGCCAGTTGTTTTTGTTTTATACCTTTTTGTCTATTTGGTGCACAACGTACCCTCCAGAGAATAGGAATAGAATAAGTCGAATCAAATTCATAAAGAGCTATAAAATGTTAGGTTTAATGGAACATAATGAGGATCAAGTAAAGACGTTATTAGAAAATAAGTGAGATAAGACATTGTGAAGTGGTATTTAAAGATCAGTCAATGGACAGCAAGTTAGTTTATAAGATGCCCCATAAAACTGTGCACATTCCACATGGTCGCATCTCAACAATAGGCTGGGCGAATAGTATATATATTTAGAGGTAGAAGCATGATCTGTCAAGGCGTTCATTATTATCTTTTTCAAGATAAAGATCTAAGCCCTCATAAAAATCAGAAATATCTCGAGCCTTTAATTTGTGTATTGCTGTTCCTGCAGAATGGGGCGATTCACCTTAGTGACCCCCACCATATCTACTGATCAGCTAGCGCCACCCTCCCTACTGTACAAACATTCCAAAGATTCATGGATGACTTGCTGCGTGATCTTCGATTCGCGTAGGCGTGCGTGGTTGAACTACTCATCGCTGGCCCGAATATTAACGCATATGAAGGCCACATTAAGGTAGGTTTATGCAAAGTGGGAGACAACAGCATGACAGCTAATAGAATTTTCTGCGTTTTAAGACGAAAACAATAGAGTTCCTAGGGCATGTCACGGACAGCAGCGGATTCTATTCAATGACCAAGGGGTGAATACTACTAAGGAATATCCTCTAACAAATTCCCTCCTGCAAATTTAGGGTTTTCTGGAGTTGATCAGCTTCTATCAAAACCTTATCTCTTATAAACCACAACATATATAGCCCCTGACTGATGCTTTAAAGGAAAGTCAAAAGACCTTCAGTTGTCGAAAGGGGCGTCTGACGCAGCTGAACGGCTAAACAGAAAGCTGGTTGATACTACAATCATAAAATCCTGACATAAGTACTCCTCTCGCTTTAGTGATAGATTCATCAAATAAGGCTGCGGGTACAACTCTGAATTAGATAGTTGAAAACAGCTGGGAAACGATAGCACTATTTTCTAAGCGACTCAGTCCTGCAGAAAAGGGGTGCTCCAATCTTGGCAGACACTTAGCAGTTGAACACTTTCCCCACATGACTGAGAACAAAGCATCTATAATCTGCGCACATCCGAAGCTTCTCATTTCTGCGTCTACCATGAAAACTGAGAAATACTTACCGCAACATCATTTTATATCCGAATTGCCAGTTATACGTGATACGTGGGGGAGAGAGGAACTGTAAGGCTGATCAGCTGCGCAGAACATATGTGAATACAGCAAAACAGACCAATACAAACTTCAAGGAATTGGCAGGGCTTCAAAAGAAAAAAGTGTTAAAGCATCCTCCCGCTACAGATACTTCCAGTCTCAAATCCAATCCTGTGGGTGGCAGCATCATATATCGCAAAACAACTAAAAGTTCACCAACACCCTTTCCCCTAAAATTATGAAAAAATCCTGGTTCATGAGTCTTCACTTCTTATATCATCCCGGAGCGTAAGCTCCATCTGAAATAATCTCTGCAGTGTACATTCGGTGAAACCTACAACTCAATGTGCAGAAGTGGCGAGAGAGTACATTTCTAATCAGATGGAGAGAAACACACAAACTGTCACATTCGGAAGACTCTTGCAGCTGGATACTCGTACGGCCCTTTTTTATCTGGGTTCTCAGCGATAATCTCACGGACTTACTTGCCTGTTCATTTCGGTCCATTGACTCACCAGGTACCCTGCACCTACACCACTTATTGATAGTACAATGGAAAGGGTATCAAAGTGGTTTCTAAAAAAATTGGCAGACACATCCTGTGTGTGTATATGATAGTTATCACCGACGGCAGAGCTTGGTTAGAATCAGAGAATTCATCCACAACTATAGGTCATATTAACATATCATTCTACCTTCATCCAATGGACAGAACAATTCTCACCGGTGATGCTTTATATAAGATTGTTATTTGGAACAGATGCTTATGTCCAGCAACCGCATTGCTGATTGGAACCCCACTGAGAATCCTTGTCGACTTCATCAGTTCAAATTCTCATATGAACAAACTACGTTTGTTGGTAGAGTTCAGATACAAACATTTAACCAAAAGCGGGTGTTATCACGAGAACAAAGATACCCGCGATTTGAGGTCGACAGCACGGGTATTAAAGTGACAGTTGCTAAAGCTGTTAAGCGATTTAAATAGGTTGAAACTTTGACTCGTGGGTCGTTTCTACAAAACATTCGGAGTGAATGATTACTGACAGAACTTTTAGGTTACAAATTAAAGTGATAGCTGATGATATGGTTTTGTGCCCAAAAGCCACAATCGTCTCATTTAAAGAAAGCATTTACCACTTCATTGTGAAATGCGTTATATTTAATTTATTCCATATAGTGGGATAATTTTCGGCGACTGATAAATTGGGAAGCTACCCTTCCGGCTCATGCCTCAGTATTATGAAGAGAAACTCCATATTTTCCACTCAAACAACCTGTCTCATAGTGTTAACATCTATAGTTCCACTCTATGAATTTGAAGCAAAATTCATTTATTCTTGGCAGTTAATTGCTTGCAATAAACTCAACTAATGCCACAGAATTCGTTACACGCTAAGCTTCAGGAGAGCATATAATCCTTGCAGACCGTGAAATCTGTGAGTCATTCAATGTATCCATGTAAGGAAATTAGTGGGACCTTGTGGTAGTACATTGGCGATATTTCAAAAAGGTTGCTGTGCATAACTTTTCAAAAACGCTTGGTATGTGAGAATTGGATTTCAGAACTCGCATATGAGTCATTGTAGTGCGTAGCATCCATAGGTAGAATTTAGTGTACACTTCGGAATGTAGTCATGAATTCTGTAAAATGATATTTCCAAAACTGAAGCCCCTAAGTAGAGACCTCAGGCTATAATAGCCAAAAGTACGGTGACCTTGAATGACCAGTCAGAACTCAGACGTAAAAAGTAGCATAATCGCTGAAAATTACACTAAAATACTACTCTCCAGCCTACTCCTAACTCGAACCATAGTCCTAACCCTAACGCCAAACCTTAAATCTAAAAAGCCGGAAACCAATCTAAAAGTATAGATTTTGAAGAAACAGTATCTCTTAAATAAGTAGAATACTATATCTACCCCTTGCAAGTCCAAAAGTGTAGACGTGGTTTTATTTGGAGATAAATTTTGTAACATTCCTGAATCTAGTCGACTCTTGAAGGTCAATTTTTGAAAGTCCTTCACTTTGGCTATGATACTTTAACATCGCCTAGTTTAGCCTCGAAGCCCCACTCATCCTGAGTTAAGTTTGTTTTGCCTGTCGTTATTGCCAGGCGGAATATATATGTGTATATAAACCACCTGGGATTGTCTCCCTAGTTATTTTAGAAGTAAGCTTTTATGTGTTCAGTTTAATTTTCCTATTAAACATGAAAACGTAAACTGTCGTCCAACCCAAATCTACTCCGATGTACTTCCAAAAAATGTAGCGATGGGCTTTCGTCATATGGTGTCCGACGCGAAATGAAGTTATTACAAAATACCGATATAGATGAATAGGATATTTCATGAATGCCATACCGTGGCCTCGATCGGATTTATTGGCTTAAAAGGATTTAGGTTTGAATATATATGGTAAAGTCAGACAAATATGACACCCATTTATAAGCATTGACCATAGGATTAAATCAAGTAGGACTCTATAGATTGTCTTGGGATGCTACACATCAACTGTTGGACACGTTCCGTCTGCTACCATATCATCGGTTCAGTTGTTTCTAAGTTGAATAACTTAAATAATGTTCTAAACTCTGCAGACTGAGGCAAACTTTAATGAAGAATTAAGTGGGTTTGACACTATGACGCATTATTTAGTAATCGTGGGGCTTTGGATGTCCACATTAAGTGCATACATATAAGAATTTTTTTTATCTTCATGTTCCCAGTGGGCCTCAAGCTAGTGGCTTGAAGTTTCTGTAGCAGTGTTTATTTTACAGGATGGGGTTGCTAGCCTCATGCCCAACCTTTCCTCTTTACCAGCATTATTTCTGGCTTAGCGAGGTAAAGGAGTGTGTCGGTGGCCGGGGATCAAACCCCGGACCATGTGCATGGTTGGCGAGCGTCCTAACCGCTGTGCCACCAACGTACACACATATAAGAATAGCTATAGGGGATTAAGACAGGTGATAGTGCATTCGTTTGTTTAAGGTTATGGTAAGATACAAACTATTCTGGAAATACAGCTCCTAAGTAAAATGCCTTAAGGTTCCTAATCCCCGGCCGAAAACTGCTACCTTGTCGTGGTGGTCGGGCTTGAATACCACAGTGACCCAACAAGCTGAACTGACTAGGACTCTGTCTCTTCAGGTCCTACAATGTCAGGGAGGTTTTCTGGATAGCGGTTAAACTAAAAGCAGTTACCATGGGGTACATGGGCTCCAGCATCAAATCGAATCAAATGGCGTATGAACCCATATGGGTCACCGGGAACCATGGGAATGCAGCTCCTGACGCTGCTCCGCTGCCTTGCGGATGTGACTCCAAGTCAAAGGCTCGGGGGGGGTGGTCCCTTAATAAAACCACCTGCTTCGGTCTGGGCGCCCGGGCAGTATCTCAGCCCGCACACAATGAATGAATTAAAGCAACGAACTCTCATTGAAACTCAACGCGCGCTAGTAAAAATGATTCCAAGCAATATTGATCCCTCAAGCAACTTATTTCCCTCCTACCTTACTTTTATTTTTATACATAGTTTCCTGTATTTTACCTTTGCTAACCTTGGCTTCTTATTCTTCGACAGCCTTCCACCTTTTTCTAGATTCCCAGCCTATCCGTGTCGTTTCGAGATGTTAGTGAGTAGTCCTCAAAATGGTTGTTCCCAATGTGACATCTAACACATATCCTGAAATCGCGTGCCGCGTTCAAGCTGGCTACCTACAATGTTCGGACGCTGATGCAAATCGGACAACAGGCAGGGTTGGCAAGAACTTTGGAAAGCCTCGCTATCGATGTCTGCCGCATTTCGGAGACCCGCATTCAAGATCCCGGTGAAGTGCTTCGACTATCCTCTCCATCTGGAAGTTCTAGTAGTATGTACCACTTGCGCTTATCCGGGGACCCTGTGGCGTCGGCAACCGGCGTAGCTGGTGTCGGTGTCGCACTGAGCGCTAGGGCCAAGGCTGCACTGCTCGACTGGATTCCCATTGACAGTCGTTTATGTGCTGTGAGGCTGGAAGGTTATACGAAAGTAAGGAGTAGTAGGCCAGATAGGTGGTGTCTGTTTGTTATCTCTGCCTATGCACCGACGGATTGCAGCCCGGATGCAACGAAGGATGAGTTCTACCACCAACTTAGCGATCTTTTGAAACAGGCGGGTCGGAGGGATGTCGTAGTGCTGGCTGGGGACTTGAATGCACAGGTCGGGCGTCTAAGCTCAGAGGAGAATCGTCTAGGTGGTCAGTGGGGACTACATGGTCGCAGGTCAGATAGTGGGGACCGTCTTCTGCAGCTTTGCGCGGACCACAACCTATTTCTAGCCAGCACCAACTTCCGGTACAGCCATCGCCGTAGCGCTACCTGGCGTCCTCCCTCTGCGGAGCAAGCTTGGACTCAGATTGATCATATTGCGGTCAGTTTCCGGTGGCGAGGATGCATACAAGACTGTCGCTCCTTCTGGAGCACATGCCTGGACTCCGATCATGCGTTAGTGTGTGCCAAGTTCGTCTTGCGATTTGGTGGGGTTCGTAAAAGCCGTCGTCTAAGCGTTGATGTGAGCAAACTAGTAGCACCTGCTACTTCTTTGAAATATCAGAATGAGTTAAAAACAATGCTTGCCAGCAACCCCCCAAGTAGTATAGATGAACATCGGCTCCATGTGCAAGGTGCCATGCAAAAGGCGAGTGTAGCCGCTTTCGGCTTGAGAGAATGCTCCGCTAACAACCACTGGGTTCTCAGTGGCGCAGATGCATCCACTCTCTGTGACTTATGATCTTCAATGAAACTGTTTTGTATTTCTTTATTACTCCTTTGTCTCACACCTCTGCTCACTGTTTCTATTATGCTTTTCTTGTACTTTCTTCTCTTGCTTCGCGTGCTACACGGAATGTGGCGACTTGAACTTCCGCACATTTGTGCAAAGTTCTATGTCGAAAACAGACAGACAGACTGGGTTTCTGCGAGTTCCTTGCAACTCCTGGATGAACGCCGGTCCATTCCGGCTGGCAGCGAATACAACAATCAGCGAAAGGAGCTCACGCGCAAGATTAGACAGTGTTTACGTAAGGACCGCGAAGCCTGGTGGTCAGAACATGCGTGTGAGATGGAGTCAGCTGCTGCATCTGGCAACAGTCGGAAGCTGTTCCAACTCAAACGAGCCACCGGCAGCAAGAAACGAGGTGTCAGTGAGAAGGTCTGTGAGGCAGATGGCACTCCAATTACCAGCCTAAAAAGACGCCTGGAACGCTGAGCAGAGGACTTCGGGAAGCAGTTCAGCTGGCCACCAGTTTCAGTGTCTACTATCATTAGCCCAAGTGCTCCTCGGTCGGTTAGCACCGACCCACCCACCGAAGCGGAGGTCCGTAAGGAACTCCAAGTTCTGAAACGCCATAAGGCGCCCGGCCCAGACAAATTACCCTCGGCTGTCTTTAAAGATGGTGGCAAGACTCTCACAATGGCTCTAACTGGGTTGTTCAGGAAAGTGTGGGAGACAGAGAGTGTACCATCAATGTGGAACGAAGCCATTATCGTCCCCATCTTTAAAAAGGGTCGACGTAATTCGTGTGACAACCATAGGGGTATCAGTCTGTTACCAGTCGTGTCTAAAATATTGGCTGCTGTCTTGCTTCGCAGACTGTGCAAAATACGTGAAGGATTGATTCGCGAAGAGCAGGCTGGGTTTTGTTCAGGCCGTGGATGCATTGATCATGTGTTCACCCTTCGTCAGTTGTTGGAACACCGCCACACGTATTGCAGGCCAACGATCGTTGTGTTTCTTGATATTAGGGCTGCCTTCGATTCGCTGGACAGAACTGTGTTCTGGAACTGTCTGTCAGAGAGAGGTGTACCTGAGAAATTTGTTAACATCTTGAAAGCCCTATACAGAAACACCTCAGGTAGAGTGAGGGCATACAACCAACTATCGCCACCGTTCCCAACCAACAGTGGGGTTAGACAGGGTTGCCCAATCTCTCCATTTCTCTTTTACTTTGCCATCGATGACATTCTGGAGTCAGCTCTGAAGGATGCGCGTGAAGGTGGTGTAGATCTGCTACCTGGAGATAGACTTTTCGACCTCGAGTATGCAGACGATATCGTCTTACTGTGCGATAGCATACAGGCTACCCAAATCGCACTTAATCAGTTGGCGATCAGTGTCTGTAAGTATGGTATGTGCTTTGCGCCGTCTAAGTGCAAAGTACTGTTACAAGATTGGCAGGAGCCTGTACCTGCACTCACTCTTGCGGGTGAACCGCTTGAAGTTGTTGATAAGTTTGTGTACCTGGGTAGTTGTGTGAGTGCTGGCGGAGAGGTGACGGATGAGTATATAATGAAGGCTAGGGTGGCATACATCAACTTGAGCCACCTCTGGCGCCGTCGCGACGTTAGACTGGCTGTCAAAGGTCGGGTATACAATGCTTCGGTGCGGGCTGCACTGCTCTACGCCTGTGAAACCTGGCCTCTCCGAGCTGGGGATGTGCGGCGACTCTGCGTGTTCGATCACCGCTGTTTCCACAGGATTGCTTGCGTTCGATGGAATCATCGCGTGAGTAATTCTGAGGTTCGGCGGCGTGTGTTTGAACACAGTGGAGATCACCATTCATTGAATGTCGTCATCTGGAAACACCGGCTCCGATGGCTTGGACATGTACTGCGAATGTCACCCCAGAGGCTTCCGTACAGGTCTCTGTTCGCTAGCCCTGGGACGGGATGGAAAAGGCGGAGAGGTGGTCAGTCCATAACGTGGCATCGTGGGATGGAGGATTTTTGTGCTAGATTAGCATCGGTTGGTGTGTCACGACTCCCTGGTTGGGGTCCGAGAGATAGCTCAAATCGATGGCTCGAAACGTTATCGAATATGGCCAAGAATCGTAATCAATGGCGAATGTGTTGCGATTTCCTTCGTTCTTCCCTTCCTGGTGATAGTTAACGAACACTGTTTGAACTTGTTAAGCATGAGTGTTTTCCTTCCTTCCTTTTTTGATCCATGTTGTTTTATTATTATTGTGTGGCGCATTTTTCTTGGTGCCATATTGTACCAAGTTTTTTTATGCGTTGAAATAAATAAATAAGTAAGGTTCCTAATCCGGATAGATCATGTGCCCCAACTCTCCTCAATTGTAATCGGGCAAACTATGGTGTATAAATGTAGAATAAAAGCCATCATCGTACACTTTTTCAGGGCTTTTACATATTCTGTAGCGATCATTAGGCTACTGCAATCGGTGTACGAACTGGTTCGCGAGATGTATATATTGATTGGCGCATACTACATTACTCCAGATGTTTGAACCTTAACCTTCAAGCGGCCTATTAACAGCATTCCGTTAGAAGTACTTTCCATTCACTCCTAATATATCCTATTCAGATTTGTTCTGTCGACTACCGCTTTTTGTTTTATCTTCTGCCTTATCTGAAATACTCTTATTATTAAGAATCAGAGTTCTCATTCGCCACTTAACACTAATTCTGCAATTTTTCTTATTACATCACGACTGTTATTGTCGTCAAAATAGCAGAACGAGTTCACAGTGTTTTCAGTATATCCCGCTTTGTTATTTCTTATTTATGTAAAGTGCTAATAGCTCTCATTTTCTACTTATCTTATGAAATTTTTCCAGTCACAGAAGTGGATTGTCAAAAGTAGTATCTAAACTATGACGAAATTTGATGTAACCATCGTCGGTTCGCTGAACACTGATCTGTCTTTGTAAATGCAAATAATTACGAATGTGATTTTCCGAGGTATACACAGGTTATTCCAAAACTTGGAGAGACAGTAACTGGATCAAGTTTCCTCCTCGGCTACGGAGGGAAAGGAGCAAATCAATGCGTCGCATCGAAACTATTGGGATGTAACACAGCACTTGTTGGAAAAGTTGGTGAAGACTATTTTGGAGATATTTTTCTTGAACATTTAAAGCAACTTGGTGTAAACACTGGTAAGGAGTGTGAGACATAAATGTAAAATATTAAACTTATGTATGTGTTCACAGTCAACGACTCAAATCCTCTTAGTACTTATGTGGGATTAGAAAATCACTTTATCCACCAACTAGGTAATTAAGTACAGTGGAAACAAACGACTATTTATATATTGTTAATACCATATATTAATTGTATAAGATACTCAGTTGTGTAATTGTATTTAATAGCTACTGTTTCTTACCACTGAGACCCTATCTCACAGGTCTAAATTCTTGGTATTTTCATAGTATTAAAAAGAAACTATCTGTTAGCTAAATCAAAAGAACAATGTATGATACATCTAACGACGCAAACAAATCTCAAGCAAAGAATTGAGTCGTGTACATCAGTATAATGTCTCTGCACTACTGGATATATAGTTGGAAAAACATAAGCATACTACGCCTTCTAACATTATGTTGAAGTTATTTAACGTCAAGCAATCTAAAATGAACATGTTTTATGCCTTGAATATAGCAGTATGAGCATAGGCTAAACAGCCATCCGAATTGCTTTATATGTAAACACCATTTCGTATATTTATAGTGAACATTTTCTCATAATTATATCAGTATAGACTTATAACACGCATAGTAGTAGTTTTGAAATAATTTTGTTTTTTAATTCATCTTTATCACAAAATAAACACTTGTTCTAAGGTAGATGGTGTAACAAAATCTCCAAAATGCAGTACTGGTGTTGCATCAATTACTGTTGATACGGGAACAGGTGAAAATCAGATAATTATTGTCCCTGGTGCAAATATGCTTATAACAGATAGTGATATTAATCGTGCAAATCAACAGTATATGATTTTTAATACAAAAGTGATAGTATGTCAGTTCGAAGTAAGATCAATACAATTATAACTTTTGTTTCAGTATTCACTAACTGATTGATCACATTAAGTAGATCGACTAATTTGTTGCCTTTTGAAAAAATTATTCACATGTGTCTCAGGCTGCTCGATTTAAACAATCCGTAGGATAATTTTCAGAGAAAGTACACTACAAATACCGATTAGTAGGATATATAAAAATTTTTGGTTTATTTTCTGTGGTATTGTGTGTATATATCATACCATGCAATAATTTACCTACTACTATACAGAAACAATAAGTGCAATTTCATCCTTATCCTTTTCATTGAAAACAATAAGAATTCACCGTTAATTTTATCACTTCAAATTCTTGGTAATAACGGTTGAGGAAAATAATCGTAATCCCAACATGAAGACTTAATTAAAATAAGCTTCAACCACAATGGACTTATGCTCTACCGCAATGTCCAAGTTCTATTCTTATGAAAGTAATCACAGCTTAGCTACTTATTTATCCACAATACAACAGGACTTTTTTATTATATTCCAGTGTTGACTTGCAGGGATTTGATTGGTCTCAGGATTTCATCATGAACTGACATCGGTTAGAGGACCATTGAAAAACTAGGGAATGCTGAACAGCTAGTTGTTTCGCTAGCCTGGTTTGGGACTCTTCGTCAGTACGCACCCCATTGGGTTCGAACCCAGGACCTTCCAATCACAAGGCTTGCGAGCTCGTAGACCATTAGGCCACAGCGACCCGATCGAATGGCCCACGAATTCTAATTTTGCCAATTCATGGCCACTTCGGAATGTCTTCTTCGGTGAGTTACTGCCTCACCCTCAAATACCTTACTGGTCACTGCCTGAATAGGACCTATTGCCAATTCACGATGTGGCGTGACCACTAGCGAATGCCGTCGGTGACACCACACCTACTGTACTTCACTGGTCTCGACTCATATTTCTGGTTAGGAGTCAGTGGTCCAATTCCTAGGGTTGACTGTCCATTGGATGACGGTCTAGGGGAGATGGCTAAACCCTGATTCCAAACCTCCAACGACTGGCGTATGAAGCTCACTGGAGCTCACCGGCAGACGTATGGACAAAGGGCTTATTGGATGCCCTGGATGATTGGCCCCATTCAAAAAGGCGAATGAACCGGACTCCGGTCACCGGCTGCCAATGGTTAGTGGACTCCCTACTCCACTCCTACTGCCTTGTAGGTCACACTTGGTTGTGTAAAGGCTAGAGCTGCACTCTCAAACAAAAGGCCGAGTGATTCTGGGGACATCACTCGTACCAAATTCCAAACTTAACTCTTAAATGCCGCCGGGCGGATTGAGTTAGAGCCGCTCTCCCCGAGGAAGCGAAAAAAAAAAAAAGTCCAATTCCTGGCCGATGCTCTACGGCGGCACTAAACTTTAAGCACCAGTAAGGACCAACGGACAAATGACTTTGAACGCGCCAACCATGTGACAAAGGCAATCTTCACGTAAAAGATATATTCATGAAGATAATAGATTGAACGACGTGAAAAATAATTTTGTTAGGAGTAACTACTAGACTAACTATTTTTGGAAATGCTCAACTTCTAAGTCTTCTCATTACTGTGGTATGTTCCAATATTAAATTTACCTCCACTCAGCTTTTTTTCCTATGTATTGTTATTATTAATGAGTTTAGATTAATCCTGTGGCAACACTTCATAGTTTACGATATGGCCGAACTAATGGAGTGAAAACAATTCTTAATCCTGCACCTGCTCCAGTACCGTCTGAAAACAATGAATTGGGAAATTATGAATTACTAGATATGATATTATCAAATTCAGATTTTGTATGCCTAAACGAATGCGAATTCTGTTCCATAACTGGATCTGATCTTGAATCACTTCCTCCAGAAAATGAGCAGATCACTTCGTCGAATGTGCATACCTTCATCCCCGGTCTCATCTATCTTATTGAGAAAAAAGTCAGATGGCCGATAGTAACACTAGGAAGTAAAGGAGCTATCGCTGTTCTTTATGCAGAAGATATGGTGGGTATGCAAAACAACGATGTAAGTGTAGTGGCACATGTATCTTTAGGAAATGAAGAAAAGCTAATCGTACACTTGGCATCTCCCAAAATTGATGATGTCACTGATACAACAGTAAGTCAAGTTGTATTTTTCAAATATAAAGTCGATAAAACGTGATTATGTAAAACCAGGGCGGTGGTCATTCAGGTGATAGACTAGTTCACTAACGCGTGAAACTAAGACGTAACTTAAATTCATATATCTGTAAGAAATGCTGAGAAGTGGAGGGGATTTACAAAGTCCTCCAGGAGAAAACAATAATTTAAACTGTTAGATCTCGTAACCAACCAGCATCAGTTAGCAATCATTGGAAACCAGTGGACATCTCTGTCATCCTAGCTTGAGAATCTTTGCCAGTGTGCACCCACAGCTAAACTAGGACAAAACAAGCTGTCCAGTAGTGATCTGTGGTTCTCAATGACCTCACACTGATATTGGTTCGTGACGAAATTTAACAATGGAAGTTTATCCGAATCTCATAAACTTAAACATCAGTCTCCAGCCTATTGATGGCTACTGGGTGTAGATGCCTTGAAACTGTGCTGAGAAGTCGCGACCTATGGGGTCCACCATGTTAAGGTGAAACAGATGCTCATGGAAGCGCTGTATCACGAACTGACTAAAATTAGAATCCAGAGGTCATTGAACTCTCACTCAAGTGGCTGAATAGTCAACGAGCTTGGCCTTGTAACCTGATTGTTCCAGGCTCGATCACCAGCAGAGTCGTGGGTGCGCAACACTGATGAGTGCCAAACCAAGACGAAACGACTGTCGATTGCTACATGGTTTCCGGCGATCCCTCTAACTGATGTTGATTTGTGAGGAAATCTAACAGGTGAAATCGAATAAAGTAAGAATAACAATTTATGCAGAATAAGATGGCTCCATCATTCATTTCGTTGGCTCCTCTTCAGCTACTTACAGTCTAAAGATATTATATGAAATTGGTCCAAATCTCCATAAATCCCATAATTTTAATACTAAAACGTTACACAGATATATGAAAACAAACTCCATGCAGAGCTATCACTTCACAAGAGTGATAACTGTAACCAACAAACGCTGTTTATTCTATCAATAACATGGTTACCTCCATTGAAAACTAAGAGGAATCCGACGCAATTATAATTTTATCACAAAAGCGGAGCTACATAAAACGGCATCAGGAAAAATGAGTATTATTGGGTGGCATTGTCACTCTATAAACTTCACTTTACATTATATCGGTTTACAACAAATGTGAAACGCCACTCACTGTGTTGGGTACGTTAAAACTAAATGTAAGATTGTTTTCCAGCTTAGTACTCAAGTTATAACCTCAGTACGGAGTTCATTTCGTTTGACCTTAACAAATAATTTGTGTATATACTTATATCTAAATCAATTACTTTACTGTTCAGGGTGCTGGTGATTGCTTTGTTGGCTCTTTAGCATATTTTGTTGCATGTCATGAGAATATTACAACTGCAGAACAAATCAGAAGATCTATATGGCTTGCTAGTCAATCAATCCGTAAAAAGGGACGCAATCAAGTTATCCAAAACGCGAGGAGCTTCCAAGTACACTTTTTACACCAGAAACATACCAATGGCCATAAAAAGACTTTTATCATCATGAGAACTCAATTGACTGTTTTTAAATTGCTAGTTGATTGTTATCCCCAACAAATTAATGAAATATTAAAGACAATAGTAAAAATTATTTTTTTTCTTTTATTTAATCAGAGTCACTATCAGAAGTAGGTTTACGTTTTTTCGGTTTGGGCATCCTGGATTCTAAAATTAGAAAAAGGAAAAAAACTAAATTACTTTTAAAATTAAATTAAATACTTTTCACTGCAAGACTATTATAAGTATTTTCGGCTGGGTTAAACTTCAAGCACCAAAGGAGTGCGAACGCACCAATGACACTCATGAGTGAAATATTCTTAGCAAAGTGTTGTGATATTAAACGAGATATCTGGTTGGTTTTATGTTAAGTTTGAGGAAGATGTTTAGGCTAAGGATAGTTCAGGTTAACGTTATGAAGAGGGTATTAGGGTTGGTTAGAGGTAAATTAGGGCCAGTAGTTTTGCGTTAGGTTTAGGATTACTGGAAGATTTAGATGAATCCATGCATAGATTGTGGTCCAATTACTTTATTGATACTCCAATGTGAAACTGGGAGGCATGCCTGTCACACATAAGACAAAGGTATTCCGTGTAACAGCTTCATACCACTGTATTCATAATTTTCAATAATCTATGTACTTTATACGTAAAAATAGCCTTTCACAAGAGATTGGTGCGTCGTACTTCTTCGGTGCCTAAAGTTCAACTTCTCCGTATTTTCTTTACAAATTACGTTGATAAACTGTTTATTGTAAAAGTATGTTGATGGATTTACAACTTCAAAGTCAATACTGGCACATTGTATGTAATTAAAATCTGCCAGTAGTTCTCTCAGTGCCCCTCGAAGGAATAACACAAACACCTGCTCTTGACATCGCGTTTTTGCCTCTACCTGTACCCAAACCCTTTGCACCTTGCGGGCGTTTCAGCATAGGAGAGTTTTTCAACATATCTGGAAGGATGAGGAAATGAATTTTACTGCCACGAATATAAACCTGCTGCATGTTTGAAGTGTATCCGTCACGAACCGTCATGATTAGGTCACACATATGGACATTCATATTGTCTTCAGCCCCAACAAGTTTTCCACGGAAAACCACACCACTGACAGTTTCTAGGGTGACAACATGTCCCTCGGCGTCGTGCAAGAATTTGTAAAAGCGTCAATTAAACAGCAGGTATACCGGTATTACTGATGGGTGAAAATGTGAGTAACACTTGAAGATCAGGCGATATGACTGTTTTACGTACGCCCTATGCAGGAGGGTTATTCAACAAAAACTAACTATTAAGGGCACTTCATATACTGCTACTTAAAAATGATCATAACTCTATAATAATGTCTCAAATGTGAAGTATCAACACATTTATAGGTCACACATGAAATTTAAAATCTCCAATCTCAATAAAACATTTACTTGAATTATAAAAGGACACTGGTATATTATCAATGCCATTTCTATCCAGTTACCACTAACTTTCTGTTGAGCGTAACGGCAAATACAAAACGATTTATAGAATAGAAATTAAACTGCCTTAAGATAAAACAGACTGCCATTCTGAAATATAAACCTTTCTATTTTGTCAGTTTGATTGAGTGAAAGACTGACTTGTGAGCAGTTATTCTGAATAGTTATTTAGAATGATGGTGACGACGATGAATCGATGCCTGCCTCTCGTAAAAAGCAAATATTAACACTCGGGTAAACTCCGTCAGTCAGTGTATACAAATGTGTTAAGGACAACTGAACTAATTGCTTTGAATATTTCACTGCAGGAGAATTCTCGCGTGAAATAGGGGTGATGAAGAGACTATACTAAGACAAATGTTTAAGTAAGCAATCCTATAAAAATATACTGTCATTTTGGAAGTCGTAACATCCGGAAAATATACAAACAGATCCTGGGTGTGGTTCTATACGCGACAAAATGATATACTGTAATCAGACTCTGTATTACCGGAAAATGTACTAGCAAGTCAATTCGTATGAACTTGTACCCTGGTAAAGTACCGTTACAATCCTTGTACAAACGAATTAATGGAAAATATTCAGCTCAAAAAACAGCAAATATGAAACTGAAATGTAGTGCAAATGTCTGCGAACAGATATATATGTATGGAAAAAGTTAGTAATTATGGACACATACTTCGACCAATAGCTATTTGTCCACGTTTCCGTTCAGCGAACCAATCCACCCGTCTTTCTACGCAGGATGTCGGCATCAACCCTGACTTTAAATTGGATGCCAATTCTTCAGCTTTTGATAATTGAGTTTGAGCAGCCCTTAACTCTCGTTCTTCAGTTTCTGCAGCCAAAATCTTCCCAATAATAGGTTCCAAACGATTAATTTTAGAATGAAAACTAGCAATAACATCTGTAAAAATAAAAAGTCCCAAAAATAATAACGTTACTCGGAGTGATATGCAAAGGATAGTCAAAGGTCAACTTGTTTTTTTTTCCGATTTACAAAATAAACAGGTGTATGAATATTAACGATTTTATTACCTAGATTGGTGCATGTTTGAAAGACCCAGGGGGGCTTCTTTTTACAACAAAGCATCTCTTCCCAAAATGCCCAGCTGATGGATGTAGCGGTGCACATATCATTATGTTATCTAGAGTTTAGTTTCCGAGTGAACATTTTTTGTTGCTATAGTAACTTTAACTATTACCACTGATATAAGAAAAGAACTTTGGCACTGTATTCCATGACGGTAAATTTATTTATTTGAAATGTCATTAGTACATAATAGTGTATAAACACTGTGAGACTTTATCAAATAAATGTGCTCTATTATTTAATTCAGTTTTGCACTACCTCATTGATTGATTAGAGCGAAATGCTCGGCCTCTGTTGACATGTCGGCTCCTTTTGCGGATGCTTTAACGGTGTATGAGGAATTAACCTTGAAACTATGTGTACTAGATTCGAGCATTAGTGGGAACACCATCACTCAATGGGGAATGAAAATACATCCACATGACGAGTCCCAAATTGGACAAAGTGCATGTCCTAGATCCCACCCACTGCTAGTCATCATCCATCAATTTACTTCAAATTTACTCTATGATGGAATTCCACTACCACTAACTGAAAATAAACACTTTCTTATTAACAAAGCTTTTTGTTTCTAAATATTGCGGGCAAAGTTCAACAATACCGTCCCAGGAGTGTGAACGATCCAATGACCTTGAACGCATGCTAGTCGTTGGCTAACAGCATCTGTCATTAGCATAGCTGAAATATATCAACGCTATTCACCAACTTAGGAGCAAATTTCACCCAGATGACGTTTTTGAGTACTGTTTGGACGATGTGTTAATAGTTCGTTAGGGTTAGGATTAAGGTTAGTATTGGAGTTAGGGTTAGAATCTGGATTATAATTAGCATTAGGGTTAGAATTACGGTTTGAATAAGGGTTATGATTAGGGTTCGGATTAAGGTTAAATTTAGTGTTAGGGTCAGGATTAAGCTTATGGTTACCATTAGGGATAGATTTATAGTTGATGTCATTTATTTTAATGTTTTTTTATTATCCACGTTTTCCTGGTAAGCAGTCGTCTATCGTCTTGCTGGAAACCATAATAATTCAACCGAGGGCTTTTGTGAAAGACTGCAAGTAGGGTGAGAGAAATAAACGATTAATAAAAACAGTTTATCTGTAGTCATCTCAGTGAATACAAGTACAGGAACTAGTCTAGCTTAGCAACTAATATTCTCGTTATAACTAGGACGTATTTTTAAGCCATGTCAGAGAAAGATAACCTGTTGAATGCATTTTCAAGCATTTTCTTGTCAATATACATAATTTTTTGAGCAAACATTCCTCATTTTTATGATTGGTCAGCTGAAGATCACTCGTGCGTTTGCACTCCTGGTACGCTATTGTTGAACTTTGCCATATTTTGTAGTGTCGTCAATCAACAAAATCTGATTAACTACAAACTGTTTTGTCTGTGAGATATGGAAATAATATTGGTCGCAGAGGTTACATGTGTACGATCATACTAAAGACTAGTGATAATATCTCTCTGTCTTTAAAAACTGAAATGAAGGCTATGGATCGCTAAACAACTTTTTTATACATTCCACCCATTTGTCTTCGAAATATCTCAGATTATACTGTGAAGACAGGAGACAAAGGCCAGGCAATAGATCGTCTATTGAGAAAATCAACAGATATTTATACATTTCTATGTACATTATTATTAGCGTTATTGTTAGCAGAGAAGGAACGTCTCCTGATTGGTTGTTTCCCTACTAAAGGTGATTCTGTCATCTCTTTGTGGCCATTTCTTAGATAGTCAGGCCATATATCTACGAATCGTATTTGCACACGTTAAGTCTGCTGTGATTGGTTGGTCATTGTTTTTTCTCATGACCCCGATTTGGGATGTAAACATTGACGTAAATTGTTGTCTACAATTTCGGCTAGCAGACAGCTCTCACCAGAATATAAGTCAACTATTGTCTTTTGCAATCTTATTTGTGTATTCAATGGAAAAATGCACATTCCTAAACAACGCTATATACGCAGACAGCGGTGGTGTTCACTTTTAGTCAAGTAAGGTTGAGCATTACTACAATTCTCGATAAACAAATCCAAAAATTTTTTCGAGCCAACTAACCTGATGGGATAACTCTTGCTTTAACAGGATATGGAGCTTCTTTCATAATTTGCTTTAGTAATTTCCTATCGTCTTCTCCAACCAAGGATACTGCGCTATTAAAATCAGTGAAAAATTTAGTTAAGTTATATTTATTAGTTAGAAGATAGAATGCAAATTTGTACAGGGATCACACTGTTTTTATAGATATACTCAGTACAGTTAGTGGTAAATGTATGTGTAAACTCTCGGGAACAGGAAATCACTCAGTAAAATCTGTACGCCACGGATAACAGTAAGGTCATCTTAAAGTTTTCAAACGGAATTTTTGCTAGAAACAAAATTAGTGTTACAATATACTGTTCTATAGTCATCCTTATATGGCTTTTTGAATCATTAGATACCGTAAATTCGACTTCTTGCAACACTTTTACTGCTACAGGTAGGTTGATTATTATTGAAAAGAAACCGTGACATCATAAGAACTATTTGCGTAAGGACACATGATCATGTCATATGCACTTAAAATATCGAATTCAAATATACATTTCTGTATTCCTTTCCATTCCAATTGGATCAGGTGGGCTTCAAGCTGGAAACTTCAAGTTTTGATAGCAGTGGTGTTTATTTCTACGGAATCGGTATGCAAACCTCAGGCACAAACTTCCCTTTTCCCCAGTCCTATTACTAGAGCTTAGCGAGGTAAAACGAGTGCGTCCGTGGCCGGGGATTAAAGGCCGGACCCAAGGACGGTCGGCGAATATTCTACCGCTGTCACCGATGCAAAATCGAACCCAAATACAGACAGATCTCATTCCATTATAAGTAAATTTTGTTTTGATAGAGTCTCACAGTGTTATACAGTAATGTTTACTGATGACGTTTCGAGCACAATTTATTGCTCATAATCATATCAAGGTAATCACACGACTTCCTAAATTCATTTATATAGTTCCATTGTTTTTCTCTTGATTTTCACTTGATTTGATTGGTAATAGTATTTTCCATATTTCAGGTATGAGTGACGAGTCATTCCTATTGCATGTGTTGGGTGTAGACTCGATGAACAAGGATTCAGTAATCAACCTCTCTCTCCACCTACCTAGATTACTTTTTAGAATTTTAACCCTCTCTCACCCTATTGTGTGGTTGTGTGTTAGCGCATACATTGCAATTGCTGAGCTTTTTTCTAAATTACTTATCTTCTCGGGGTCAACCATTCTTACCTTAGCTAAATTCTTATGCTCTGACAATCTGACTACCCCTGACCTACTAGTTTGACCTATGTAGTTGACCTCGCAGTCATTGCATGGTATTTTGTAAATAATATTATTTTGTCTAATTGGGTCAACTGGGTCCTTTAACCTACAGAGCTTGTCCCTGAGTGAGTTTGTAGGTTTAAATGCCACCCTAATTCCTATTTTATTCAGAATCCTACGTAGTGTCTCAGATGTCCCCTCTTTATATGGTATAACTGTGGATGACTTATATTCTTTCTTATTTATGTTATTATTACTAGTTTCACAATTATTTTTATTTTGTTTTTGGCCTTTAATGATCTTCCTAATGAATTTTATAGGATAGTTATTCAACACCAACGCTTCTTCTATCTGTTTTAATTCATCATTTAGATCTTTTTGTGTGCTACTTAGTGCCACTGCTCGGTTTGTTAAACATTTAACTAAGCCTGCCTTAACAGTTAAAGGATGAGACGAATTAAAGTCTAAATATCTATTAGAATGCGTTGGTTTTCTATAAACACTAGTGTGTAGTCTGCCTTCTTCTATTCTTTTTATCTTACAATCTAACATAGCTAATTCTCCTTGTTCATTTTCTGATTCAAATGTGAATTTTATTCCCTCAACTTGTGAGTTTATATGTGTCAAGAAGCTAGAGATGTGTTCTGTTTTTAACACTGTGAAAGTGTCATCCACATATCTCCACCATATTTTCGGAGTAGGGTTAAATGTATTGAGGGCACTATTTTCCCAGCTGTCCATAAATATGTCTGCTACGATAGGGGATATTGGTGATCCCATTGCTACACCTTCTGTTTGTCTATATATTTTGCCTTGGAACTTAAAGATAGTAGATGTGAGGCATAACTGAATCCCTAAAATAATTTCTTCAATGGACAGCTTTGTCCTATGACTGAGTTCCGGATCCGCAGTTAATTCTTTTTTAACTGCTTCTAAGGCCATATTAACTGGTATATTAGTATAAAGACTAGTTATATCAAAACTAACCATTGTTTCATCATTTGCTAGTTGAATGTCATTTAGTTTATTTTTCATCTCATATGAATTAGTTAATCTAGAGTTTGAACGATTTCTAATGGGGCATAGTATTAGAGCTAAGTGTTTTGATAATTCATACGTGGGGGTATTTCTAAAATCTACTATTGGTCTTATGGGGTAACCTGGCTTATGTATTTTTATAGTACCATATATTCTACTAGCATTATTAGTTTTAGGCATTAAATTAAACCATTTAGACTCACCCAGTGATGGCTTCATTCTGCGTATTAGTTCCGCTGTAGATTTCTTAACCTTATTCATTATTGTATCTACAGGCTTCTTAATTTCCTCATATGGACCCGTTTGAATATGTTCAGTAACTTTTTGATGTAGTCAGATTTATCCAGAACTACGGTGGCGTTTCCTTTGTCAGCTTTTGCGATGACAATGTTTTTATCCTGTTTAAGACTAATTAAAGCTTCCCTTTCCGATTTTGTTAAGTTTGATTTTGTTTTCTTTTGATTTTTTAGGGTTAATGCACATTGTGCTCGAACCTCTTCTGCTGTAGTCTTATCTATTGAGTTTAGTGCTGCTTCTATGTTAGGAATGACGTCCTCTGGTTTTAATTTATTAACTGTTACGTTGAAATTTAGTCCTTTTTCAAGTACTTTTATCTCATTAGAGTTTAGTTCCCTTGATGAGAGGTTGATCACCCACTTTGTTCTGTCGATAGAGGATGAAGCATTGATATCAGTTTCATTTGTTGTGTTCTTTTCTTCTATTAGTTTGTTGAATTTTTTGATTTGCGTGATTTTTGATTTTCTTAATGCGGATTCTCTAGCTTTGTTGGATGTTTCAACAACAATTATATAATCTTTGTCATTGATCATACATTTGAGTTTGTGTTGTTTTTCAATTTGATTTCGTATATTATTTAGTTTTACAGTAACTCGATGTAATTCTTCTCTTAGACATAATTTACTGACATGTTCTGCGGCTGATGTTATTTTGTTTGAAGTAATTGGAGTACGTAGACGTAAATATTTCGGAATTATATGGCTTTTCATTTTTAACATCAACTGTTAAAAATCCGATGATTGAAAAGCCATATAATTCCGAAATATTTACGTCTACGTACTGCAATTACTTCAAACAAAATAACATCAGCCGCAGAACATGTCAGTAAATTATGTCTAAGAGAAGAATTACATCGAGTTACTGTAAAACTAAATAATATACGAAATCAAATTGAAAAACTCAAATCCATTAGAAATCGTTCAAACTCTAGATTAACTAATTCATATGAGATGAAAAATAAACTAAATGACATTCAACTAGCAAATGATGAAACAATGGTTAGTTTTGATATAACTAGTCTTTATACTAATATACCAGTTAATATGGCCTTAGAAGCAGTTAAAAAAGAATTAACTGCGGATCCGGAACTCAGTCATAGGACAAAGCTGTCCATTGAAGAAATTATTTTAGGGATTCAGTTATGCCTCACATCTACTATCTTTAAGTTCCAAGGCAAAATATATAGACAAACAGAAGGTGTAGCAATGGGATCACCAATATCCCCTATCGTAGCAGACATATTTATGGACAGCTGGGAAAATAGTGCCCTCAATACATTTAACCCTACTCCGAAAATATGGTGGAGATATGTGGATGACACTTTCACAGTGTTAAAAACAGAACACATCTCTAGCTTCTTGACACATATAAACTCACAAGTTGAGGGAATAAAATTCACATTTGAATCAGAAAATGAACAAGGAGAATTAGCTATGTTAGATTGTAAGATAAAAAGAATAGAAGAAGGCAGACTACACACTAGTGTTTATAGAAAACCAACGCATTCTAATAGATATTTAGACTTTAATTCGTCTCATCCTTTAACTGTTAAGGCAGGCTTAGTTAAATGTTTAACAAACCGAGCAGTGGCACTAAGTAGCACACAAAAAGATCTAAATGATGAATTAAAACAGATAGAAGAAGCGTTGGTGTTGAATAACTATCCTATAAAATTCATTAGGAAGATCATTAAAGGCCAAAAACAAAATAAAAATAATTGTGAAACTAGTAATAATAACATAAATAAGAAAGAATATAAGTCATCCACAGTTATACCATATAAAGAGGGGACATCTGAGACACTACGTAGGATTCTGAATAAAATAGGAATTAGGGTGGCATTTAAACCTACAAACTCACTCAGGGACAAGCTCTGTAGGTTAAAGGACCCAGTTGACCCAATTAGACAAAATAATATTATTTACAAAATACCATGCAATGACTGCGAGGTCAACTACATAGGTCAAACTAGTAGGTCAGGGGTAGTCAGATTGTCAGAGCATAAGAATTTAGCTAAGGTAAGAATGGTTGACCCCGAGAAGATAAGTAATTTAGAAAAAAGCTCAGCAATTGCAATGTATGCGCTAACACACAACCACACAATAGGGTGAGAGAGGGTTAAAATTCTAAAAAGTAATCTAGGTAGGTGGAGAGAGAGGTTGATTACTGAATCCTTGTTCATCGAGTCTACACCCAACACATGCAATAGGAATGACTCGTCACTCATACCTGAAATATGGAAAATACTATTACCAATCAAATCAAGTGAAAATCAAGAGAAAAACAATGGAACTATATAAATGAATTTAGGAAGTCGTGTGATTACCTTGATATGATTATGAGCAATAAATTGTGCTCGAAACGTCATCAGTAAACATTACTGTATAACACTGTGAGACTTTATCAAAACAAAATTTACCCATAATGGAATTACACTCTACCACAGTGCACAAGTTTTATTCTTATATCAATAGACAGATCTATTTATGGCGGAATTTAGTAAGAACGATAACATCTGGCAGTCCTGACAGCCACTCCTGACTGTCGTCACTTGGAAATGGCAAACTTCGATAGATTCCTATACGATTACTCACGGGTTCGAGTTCAGCATACAGTTTCTCACTACTCTATTTACAACCTGACATTACCACAATACCTCGTAATTAACAGAGTCTAGTGCAGCTTTCAGGCCAATTGACACAAATGTTGGGACATTGGCATCTATATATTTCAGAAAACAACATAGCAGTTTTATAGGACGTTTTCAGGTGCGCCCGAAAGGATGGTCACATGATTTTAGGACAAACAGTTTTCCCGAAGTAACATAAATCCTCCGCATTTTAAAGTGAACATCAGTCTGGTATGAGCGTTTAAATGTAGGTTTGTAACACCAGCAGACAAGGGACTTGGTGACGAACTTTTCTATTAAAGAAAATCACACCATATTTATACATTTTAGCCACATTTGTGGTCAGCGGATAATCGACTGTCCTGATTGGTTGCTAATTTCTCTGAAGGTTAAACCTCCAGATTATTTCTTGACCACAGAGTAAGCTAGATCCAGATTCGAGAAATAAACGCCTCTATTTCAGCAGCCACTGCCTAAAATTGCTGTTTTCAATTTTGGCTACTTACTATCAATCAGCGTCTACATACTACTGGAAATTTTGTGAATAACACTCGCCACAGGTTCACAACCTTATGTAATCACGTTCTTTAGTAAAGACTTCACCACTAACCTGAAGTTTGCTAATTTGGGGCTTCCAGAAAGAAAAAAACAAGCAATACTATATAGATGTTTGATCGATAATCCTTTACCCATTTTGACAGGTAGTTGGACAGTTCACCGGTGCCAGATGTGATGTAAGTTAATTGGTATGTCATACACTTTTGTCGATGCAAATGTTTTGCCAACAACTACCCTAACTAGAGACAAGGCTTTTTACTTGGACATCAAAAATCTTTGCATCATTCGCTAACACACAAGAATGTCTCTTACATTCTCTGAACTGGCCAAAGACAGTATGCTGGGAATTTGTCTCTGAAATTACGTGAAAGCACAGTTGTCCTGATTTCATAGGTCTGTAACACAATGCTCAAACTGCAGATATAAAAAGCTAAGTGTGCGTTATTCCGAAACCAATAGCCCTGAGTTCTCATTCTTCTGCGGCCAAAAATTCAAGATTTATTATCGATGCACTTAAAACGCTAATATACCTCACATTCTTCACCATAAATGTAGAAGAAGTATACGTTCTGAAGACGAATTTCTCAAAGCAAAAAAAGTCACATTCAAAGCCGAAAATATCAATTAAAAAGACGTTCTAGAAAGAACTTACCGACCGACATTCATAATCCTTGCTGTACGACCAACTCTATGCACATACTGTCTCATAGTTGGAGGTAGAGTATAATTTATAACCTGAAGACAAAAATGAGACATTTTTTTGATATGAAAACCAACAGCCATAACTTTTTATAATTAATAAGATAAGGATTGTCAACATAGGTACGGTACTGTCAAATTCTTTACTGCAGAGGAAGTAAGCATAACTTGGATCACTGGGAATTCAGAAATTGAAATTTCCTGCTTCTGAATTTATACTTAGTGCTTGCTGCTGCAAGTGAATTGGTAAATGCAGTTGGATTTGACATGAGCAGGATACTTATCTACTTTTGACTGGGTTAACGAGCATACTGTTTTGTAAAGTGGAATGAGTCTAGAGGCGGGAAATGTTCTTCCTAATTCATGCTTAATTCTGTCTTCCGTTTTTATGGATACTTCGCCTTTGTACGCTAGACAGATAAAAACTGCTTTCATTTCAACCATTTCGGATTTCGCTCTAGGTGTTTTTTCTTTCCCATATTTTGATATGAACTCCCAAGGGAATCAATTTTCGATAAGGTTGTTTTCGATGATTGCGAGTTCCTCCTTGATCTTATCTTCTGAGTATAACGCCCTAGCTCTGCTGAAGAGCGTTTTCACCAGGCTCCGCTTGTAGCAGATTGGGCAGAAACTGTGATCATTCAAGTATTGGCCAGTTCAAGTTTCTTTCCTGTAGATGTATTTTTCAATCGTCTCATCATTTCTTCCTTTCATGTAGAGATCTAGGAAGTGGAACTGATTGTCACGTTCATCGTCCACAGTAAATGATATGTGAGGGTGAGCCACATTGAGGTTCTCGAACATCATGGATACATAGCCCATATTGTTGCAAACCACAAACGTGTTATCAATATGCCTGCAGTAATAGGTGGTTCTCTCTATTTCCGGCTTCATTCGTGTCTGTTTAAGATGAGTCATGAATATGTTCGTAAGAAGAGGATCTATAGCCACCCAGTCAATTTGCCGGTACAGCTGGTTGTTGAATCGGGACTGTAATTTTCGTAGCTCCTTTACAGGAAGATGAAGTGGTTTGGATTGCTGACATGATGCTCACTGTTTGTTTAACAGGTATGCTAGCAAACAGCGAACAAGCATCGTATGATACCAGAAGTTTGTCTGAAATATTCAGTTGGTCTAATTTTTATGAGAACTGGAATGAACTCTTAATTGCCACTTTTTGTCGAATTGTTTCTAACTTTTGTGCCAGCGACCAAGCCAGCTTACAGCATGGTGATTTCACCATTGACATTATAGTTCTCAATGGCATATTAGGTTTTCGAACTTTCAGTTGACCATACATGAACGGTATGCGTGAACCCTCCTTGCTTTAAGATGATATATGATATTATATGACGTTGTCAACTAGTCCTTCTTTAAGCAGTTCCTTGAGGTGCTTGTCTGCTTTGTTTTTGAAGGCTGTTGTTGCATCATTTTTTGACCCATCCACTCGGAATCTCATCGTATCATTGAGAAGGATTGTCGTTTTGAAGACGTAGTCTCGCCGGTTCCTTATTACAATGCCAGAACCCTCGTCTAGTTTAAGAATGACGACCTTATCATTGTTCTGCAGGCGTCTTAACGCTAACCTGTGCTCCTTAGTAAACATTTTTAACTGTGCGGGATGATAAATATAATGCTTCTCTCCGATATCAACCATTTTAGGCCTAAAGCAAACATTTTTATCTCGTCTATGGGGTTTCAAATCAAACAGTTGATCGTATAAATACGTCAACTGCGTTTTTGTGTCAATTCTGTGAAAAATAGCTGCGAAAATCACTACTTCTTTGTACAAAGAAGTAACTAAAATACGTCCTTCAGGCACTTTTATTTCATCAAAAATATAACTGAATACTACATTTCTGTTAATCTTTCGGTTCTAATCATTCTGTACGACCATTGCATCTTAAATTGCAAAAGAGTCACTTTAATTAGTTTTACATCACTATTATGCGACTTAGACAGTCTGATTACTCCACGAATCTTTATTTTCCACTTCCTACGTACAGGTCTGACCACGAGCAGACATCAGTCAGCGAACCCATTGGAAAACCAAGGAGTACTAGACAGCTTTTTTACCTTAGTTTGGGAATCTACAGCAGTACGCATTCACCGGGGCTTAAAACTCAAGACCTTCAAGGTTACAGGCTAATTGGTGAAGTATTTTGTCACTACGACCCGACCCAATGGCCTATGAATTCCAACTTTTGCTGATTCGTGAAACAGGTGTCCAGTACTCCCTGATTTTTCAGTGGTTCTCTAACTGATGTCAGCTCATCGTCAAACCTGTAACCAAACAAACCCATGCAAACCAACACCTCAAAAAAGTAATCGCAAGTCGAGTATTTATCATTTTGCTGAAATATAATTCACGATTGACGACTTCTGTTTCCTACTTAGTGCTCAATGTCTTCGGAATGACTACACTAATGCAGTTCTCATAAATTCTGAAAGAGAAGTGTTTAACTTTTTAAGTTATATAAGAAGGGAAAAAGTAATAAAAACTATATATCTCAGCAACTTACCGTCTGCACATTAGGGATATCTAAGCCTCTAGATGCTAAGTCAGTTGCTAGAAGAATATCAACAGGCGGTGCATCAGAATTGTCTTTTTCAACAGTCTTTTTAGATGCACCTTCTGTTTTACTGCTGTCAGTTTCATCAATTCTAGAGAAACGTTTTAAAGCTTCTAAGCGTTGTGCTTGAGTCATATTACCGTGTAACTCTGTACAAGAAAGACCAAGTAAACCCAAAAGAATATGCATATTATGACATTCTTTCTTAGTTGGTAAGAATACTATAGTTCGTTGACGAAAATAACGCATAAGCAATGCAACAACAATTGCCTTTCGATCCTCTTCTCTGTGTGGACGAACACGAACAAACTCCTGGTGTAAACGTTGAGCCAAGGCAGTAGCTTGATTTAGAAACACTTGCACTGGATCCCGAAGTGAAAGTATAGCAAGTTCGTTAACCTTGAATAGAAACAGAATAGAAACATAATAAAAGAACAACTTTCATCAGCACAGTATTATGTGAAATATATTGAATGTGGTTAACTTCACTTTGTTGGGTATTTATTAATGCGATTTTATGCAACATTTAGTCGGTCTGAGTTGCCATATATTTCGACAGCCAACTTCTCGACAATCCTGTTTCGGAAATAGTTATTGGCATCATAAACATTATTCTATTGCTTATTTTTGGTGAACTTAAAAGCTATCCCTTGAGATTTTCACTGATCTACAAGAAATTTTAGATTTAAAACTAATTGCAAAGAGTAGTTATGTAATTCACAGGTTTAATCCATGTATCGTAGAAGCTGATTAGTAAAAAAACGTTGTGAAGATCAACTTGAAAAGTGAAAGGAAATATCATAACCTCTAATTCAAACTGACTGACTAATTTCAACATAGAACTTTGCACAGATATGCAGTAGCACACAAAGCAAAGGAAGGAAGTAGAAGAAATGCAAAATAGAGACAGTAAACAGAGGTGTGAGACAAAGGAATAGTACTAACGAAGAACAATATAGTTTCATTGGAAATCATAAGTCACAAAAAGTGGATGCATCTTCGCCATCACTGAGAACGATTTTGAGCCATATCACCGATTGTATCCAGCCATTGGTTTTTACCGTCTCGAGGACCCCAACCAGAAAGCCAGTCTACACCTCCCTACGTTGCTGGCTTAAACTAACTGTTACGGATTTCATTGACTGATGAAGCCATGTTTTGGTTTGACCGCCACTAATTCTTTCTTCTCCAACCTGATCCATCCTATGTCAGCTAACATTGCCCGTCTAGGAAGGCGATGGCTAGGCTTGCATGCGTAACACATGTCCTAACCATCTCAGTCGATGTAGCTTGACAGTCTCGTCGATTGATCTCCTCTCCTTATCTAGCACTCGACGCCTAACCTCCATATCACTCACCCTATTATACCACCTAACACAGGAGAGAGAACGCAGAAACCTATGGTCAAAGACAGCTAACCAGCCTTTTGACGTCTTCCACTTTTAATGGCCATGTCTCACTCACAGACATAAAGGAGGACAGAGCGAACTGCTGAGCAGTACACACGTCTTTTAGTCGATAGTCAGACATCACGTCTACGCCAGATCCAAAGCAGAGAGTAGAGAAAAGAGTTAAAGAGTGAAAGATTAAAAAAGACAACCAATGGTTTAATCTACTTTTATCAAATGTGATTGAAATGGATGTTAGGCTATTGTATACCTTCACCCTAACTAATGCTTTCTTTAACCTGAAGATTTCTGAAAGCAGTTGGATCTAGAAATAACTCTTAAGATGATATGAAGATGTGAAAGCATATATCTCCAAAAGGTATACTTACTGAATCTGAAGACTTGTCTAATGACAACTTCACATCATCCTAATTCTAAGCTGCATTTTGATCTTTCTTTGTTTACTAGATGAGTTTTCGTCAAGAAAAAATGGTCTATTAAATTGAGAGTGTATAATTATATTTTCTATGGTGAAAACAACTTGTTTCATTATTGAAACACTTTAGAATGTGAGCAGTTAACTAACTTGTGTGTACCTGTGAATCAATTCTCAAATTCTTTTTACCGGTTGTTGTCATGCAAAGCGCGGTATAGTCTTTTATTATTATTATTATTATTATTAAGAGGATCGGACGGATAAAACATAACCCATAGATTCAGTAAAAAGCCATTTGGGGAAGATCCAGTGTTAAGGCCAGGACGAAGTGAACTAATATTCATTCTTATTGTGGTGGTGTGATACAGACAATGTGTTCCAACGGAATATTATTCTCACAAGTTCTTACAGCTCAATTCGGCTTTAGCAACAGAATACGATATATCTATTTCAACATTGTTTCATGTTGTTTAATATAAACCAAAATCACGCGCTCAATGATTGGTTAAAGAATATAAAATTGTATATTATGTATAAATAGCGGTTTGATCACTTAAAAATATACCTTGGCTTCTGTGTGTTGCCTTTTGCTGTTACAGTATCAAATGAGTGTATAAATTTATAATTGTCAGAACGTCAAACAGTCATATGATAAAGAATTATGAATTTACAATTAACTGACATAAAAGGAATTAGAACAAGACATATAAGCGAATATTGTTTTCAATTAGATCTTCTTCAGGCTTTACTCTAATTTACATAGACTTATATATATAAAATTTTAACCAATGACGGTGATTTAGTGGATCAAATAATAATAGTAATAATAATAATAACAATAATAATAATGTGGTAAATGTTTTGAACGAAGTTAATAACGATGATTATAATAATAAAATATTGTTAATAAGGCTTACATAGGTGATAAGAATAACAAAGTTAGTACATGTATGTATGTAGACAATTCAATAAATAAATAAATTAGGTCAAATCAAATGGAACGATAATCAGAGTTTAAATAAATATCATAAAAGTACGAAGGAGAGGGATGATAAGAAAGGGTGGGAGAGTTTTGAATAGAATTCACCTAGGCCAAGGGAGAGACAAAGGTAGAACAAATTTCTTTTGTATACAAAGACTAGGATTGTTCTCTCGAATTCCCATAGCTTCGGCTAAGTGTAAAAGACGGGTTCTGATTCCGTTCGAAAGACTTGATGGAATGCGGTAAATAATTTTGAAAGCACTATTTTTGTCCACTTGGTGACCACTATCAATCAAATGAGCCAAAACAGAACTTCGTATGGGTTTTATTTGACCTATTCCGAACCATGAAGGAAGATGCTCATTAATGCGTTTGTTAAGCTGTCTAGTTGTTCGGCCTATATAGCTTTCTCCACAGGAGCAACTAAATTTATAGATACACATGGAAGTGGCACAACTAGGTAACTTATCTTTCACTTGAGCAATCAAAATTGGTCGGCTGGAAAATGACAAACAGAGGGTGGCGGCAGTATAAGTCCGTTTTACCGCTCTCGATAATCTCTGATGTAAGACTTCACTAGCCACGTCCCCATTAAATTGCAGTTTGATGAATTGTTGTTTCTTCTACCACATTATTATTACTATTATTATTATTTGATCCACTAAATCACCGTCATTGGTTAAAATTTTATATATATAAGTCTATGTAAATTAGAGTAAAGCCTGAAGAAGATCTAATTAAAAACAATATTGTTCGCTTATATGTCTTGTTCTAATAAAAGGAATTTCCACTAGAACTCCTGTTTAGTTAACTTTAAGCAATTCTAAAAATAAAAAACACGATTTTTCTTACGCGGCTATACATAGGACAGTTTTTAAATAATTGGTAAACCCTAGATAAAGTGGGCTAATGGTATTTTGACTATGTACAACTGGCTTGGTATGACTGACGTCAAAGATTTAGAAACCTGAGGTGGCAACAAATTTATACCTCAGTTATTTTTGCATCAAGCAGAAAAACTAGTCAAGTCTTTGATGGATAATAATTACTATGCAAAGAATATTGGTTTTGAACTCGCTAACTTCATAGTTTCTGCTGTTAATAGGCTCTACATGCTAACTTCACTAATCATTAGGCACCACCCATATGTAAATACTCTCAGATAGTCTTTTGTCCACCTCTGGGTGGGGACCAGTAGTTAGAGACTGTTGGTAAGGTGGTTCAGAATCCGTGTGATCTTCCATAAGCTGGGAATTCTCACTTAAGTTCACGTGATCACCTTTTCTTCTATTAATACTTACCTGTACATTCACTACATTCCCTTTTCTACTTTGTCTACTATTTTGACGTGTTATACCTTGAACTGCTGCACTTTTGTGCAAAGTTCTACTTTGGTAGTTGAATAAGCCACAGCCGAAAAACTACTTAAACGAGTATTATATAAACTATGTCAAAGTATTTTATCTCATTAAGGTCAATGTTTTTGAAGAGGTGATAGAATTCACGAACTTACACTTTCTGTCATTGTGGCAGAAAATAATAAAGTTTGACGTTTTGTACTGCAGAATTTGACAATTTCGGCAATTTGCTCCGTGAAATATTCATCTAAAAGTCTTACAAAAATTCATTGAAAAACTGTTATAGTTACTTGTCAGCCTCATCCAACACTAAGTACTCAATGTGTTGTAGGTTGAAACTGGGAGCATTTGACAAATGGTCGATTAAACGTCCTGGTGTAGCAATAACCAAGTCTGGGCTTAAACGTAAGGAAGCTTCTTGAGAGTGTAAATCAAGCCCTCCTATTTAGTTGATAAGATATTACATAATCAGAAGACATACCAGCAGCTAACTGAACCCTGATCTTCGGACAGTATTTAACGAGCTTCTCAGCAACATTGAAAATCTGTACAGCTAACTCCCTAGTTGGGCTGATCACAAGTGCTCGAGTAATAGCATGGTTAAAGTCAGAAGGCTTTTTTGTTAACCTTTCCAGAATCGGTAGCAGGAAAGCTAGTGTTTTACCGGAACCTGTTCTAGCACATGCACATATATCATGATGAAGGAGAGCCACAGGAATGCATGCACATTGAACAGGAGTTGGTTTGTCTAAAGACATTTCAGTAAGCGACTAATAATGATAAAAATAGTTTGAATTTTGCTTACCTTAAGTAATGGTTTAGCTAAATTAAGTTCCATGAATGATGAGACTTGTTTGTATTTCGTAACAGCCTTGGTGAAATTAAACTTTTCTGGCTTTTAATTGATAAAACACAGAGCTTTGCACTTACTTCATCTTTCTTTTTGAGAACACGACTAGTCTTCTCTCGGACAACGTCTATAGTCTTTTGGTTTGATGACTATAATACAATTACCTGTGAATTGGGTTACACAACCTTGATCTTCTGAGATTTCAGGTGGAATAATGGTGCTGCATGCTTCATTGTCTTCATCAGGATCTATTTCTTTACGATAAGTTTCTATCAAGGTATCCACTAATCTAGTGATCGGTATGGGAGCGGAAGACGTATCTTGAACATCTACAACAGGTCGAGCATCCTGAGACACCGTTTTGTTAGTAAAATTTAGACAGACTTACTGAAGTATCAAATGAGAAACTCGGATTGAAGATCATTCGACTAGAAACGGATTACGCAGCTGTTCAGTAACAAGGTATGGTACAAGATCTACAATAGAAGACATTGGACACTTGTGAAAAAAGGCTAGAAGTACTACTAAATTGCCACATGGCATTTATTTAACACTACAATCGTGCTACGTGGAGTTTGAAGCAATACAAAGTATTTACGTTGGATTTGAATTACACTTATGATACAAACATGGATAACATTTAACACGTGGTGCCAGCATATAGGAAGGGATTATTATCTGCAGGTTAATTAAGCACAAGCTTAGTTATTCTCAGTACGATTTATTATTAGGATCAATTGATTATCTTCGTAAAAACACTAAAGCCCATGGCTGTGCAGGCAGTATTTGCTGGAGCTGGAAATCTGTTGAGCTAACCTCCCATCTGAAAGATGCCGTAGTTAGAATCTATAATATAGTACTCCGGTATGCTCAGTCAACTCTCAACTAAGGGAAATCATTCAGTAAGATTAACATACTTATAGAACCACTAAGTATATGTCTACACTTAGAGAACACAATTTGAGCAAATGCAGATTTTCTGTGATTTCTCATCAGGCCTTAAAATTACATGATAAAAATTTTCAAGCATAGACAGTATAACAGTACATCCATCCAGGTCATAAAATTACCATACATAGTAATAGGTTCAATAAAGCTTCAAACAAAATTTACGCTTAGGATAGACAATAAGATGGGAATCATTTCAACTATCAGTGTATTAAGGAAAAGCAGTTTAATTCCAAGGTACTTAAAGAATTAAATTTCCAACGCCAAAATGTTGAAAGTTATTAAGAGGTTGACGACTGCTAAGTCGGTTTATAGATCTCAGTGGCACCCGACACCAAAAGCGGTTGAAATCTACATTATTCTCTGTCCAATCACGTCGACCACTTTGAATGGCATACAGTGATACTAGAATACGCTAGTAATCCAACATATATGACATATTAGTATCAAGTCCGAAATAAAATATATATTCATGGCTGTATGACATTGATGATGCCTCGACAACACTAATTCAATTCTGTAATGTGAATCCGGCCGACGCACTCCTTTGTATGCGTCGGTGGCGCAACGGTTAGGACTCTCGCTGACCATGCACATGGTCCGGGGTTCGATCCTCCGCCGACACACACCTGATATCTATGGTCGACCTGCAAAATTTGAGCTACCGATATAACATGCCGAAAATTTCATACCTGTACCAAAAATACAGTGTGGAATCAAGCTGTAATCAAAATAAAAAAAACTTGAAAATGACTGCGAAAGTTACACTAAACTTTCTACTTTTCACATCTTATAGTTATTCTAAGGTAAATTCCACATGAAGTCAAAAAGTCGCACTTTTACTACCTAGACGTTCGACTCATTAAGCGAACCATACATATTGTGGAACCAAAGTTCCAGCAGTAGGATAGTATTTCTAACCTCCAAACAATATATTTGGTTGTGAAATTGATTTGTGATCCATAACGAGAGTTTTGAGTCGCATGTACTCTCCCTATTAGTAGTATAGTTTCAGTAGTCCTCAACTTAACAAAGCATACCACAAATATACACAATTTATAAAAGTCGGAAACAGGTTTTCTTAACCGAAATTCCAGCTCCCTTAGTCACACATTAGGTCAAATAAATGTCCACATAACGGACAGAGCATCCACTTAACAGACAAAACAGGTTGTATACTGTTGTGAGACAATCAGAAAAATACTTTGCAATGATTTAGATGAAGCTTAAGTATGGGTGTATCTACATTCCGTCTGATCTTGAACCTTGCCACTTGTATTCGCTAGCCATAGATTTCAACTGTTATGCTGGATCCTGTCAGGCAAACTATATGTTTCAAGCTGACAGTCAGTGACCCTGCGCATTGAACTCATTTCTCGGTGTGGCATCCTGGCAACCTAATTCTGCTTGGATCAGCTCTAAAACATGTTGCAGATAGACGTGTCACGTACGTTTTACTGACTCATGCTGTGGTTCTGCAAAATCTGCATAAAAAGCAGTAATGAAATACCTGAGGTTTTAGTAGGTATCATATGCTTTCAATGATTATGTTTAGAGATAGATTTTAATAATTTAGGCATGATTTCAATATTACACAAGATTTCCTCATGTAAGTGGCTTATAAGATGGTCAAGTTATTACATGAGTAACAATCTTATTTACTGTGATGTTTAAAAACAAACCTTGTTACTTTGATATCGGACTGTCACAGATTCTCACTCACGATTTTGCTTTTGATTTAATTAGTCATCAAATATTAAACAGTATGTTCCTCAAAGGGAATGCAGGACCACTTCCAAGTAGTTCCCAAACTCTCACGATAATGGTGCCTTATAATTTAATAGAAAGTAATTTAGCTTCACCAATGTCTAGCCGATTTTTGTGTATACTGTCTCATGGAACAAAGTTTGTAAGGTAATTAGGATACTTAAGTCCAACAAATACAACAAGACGGCGGTTGCCGCTAAAGTACAAATATCAACCGCCCATAAACAAAATTGGGTTACTTCTATTTCAGTATGTGACAGAAATGCACTAAGGCCTATCACAATATGGACCATACAATCAGTCAAAGCATTATTATATTGCAGACAGATACTGTTGATATGGGATTTTGAAAAATATACTGAGATGACATACAGTCCTTCATTATTGAAGGGATTACGTGTAAGAGAAAGTGGTCAAATTCTAACTCTCCAGGTGTTAACTGTTCTATAGGAATACGTTAACCAACAACAATAAGATATATCTGATGTCTGAAGTTTCATCATACTCTGTTTAAACCACAGTAAGTTAAGATATGAGCTCCCACAATGCAATCAATAATTAGACACACACAGCTTATGGGGCGAATTTAAATTTTAGGCAGCAGCGGACATATGAACACACCAACCACATGGAAAATGGCATTTTTAAGTAAAAAGTAGGTATATTTGTGAAAAGTGAGAGGCATGAAACTGTTAGACAAGATACCGTTCTCTGATGTGCTCCTTAGTTTTGGACCTGAGTGTCAATAAAATGTTACTATATATATACATATATATATATATGGTAATGTGTCGTTAGCCTAAGCCCAGTGGAAACCTTCCACATATCCCCTTCAATATCAGAACACTTTAGTAAGAACATTTTATTCATGATTCCGAAGTAATATACCTGGTTTCCCTAGCTTGCTGATTGAGCATTCCGCGGTCATTAGTGCAGTCGCACTCCATTGGTACCTATTGGTGCTAAAGTCTAACTTGGCCAGTTATGGATTTTATCTTCCCAACCCAAATAGCATATTACTCAAGTGGATATATTGTCTCAAAGAATATTGCCTAAAAAGAATATGCAGTACTGAACACTATAGTGTTCATATGACTATAGTTAAAATAGTCATTTACCATAAAAAAGCATTATCGAAGAATAGGTCAGAATAAGTTTAGAATTGCTGTAAGCATGGGTGACTTCAACAAAACAACACCACTTAATTTTGGAGTATTGAGAAGTCTTAGTAGGATAGTCATCCTATTTCATTCAAACCAAAACTTTGCCTGGAATTCAAAGAGTTCGAATAATAAGGCACATTTTAGAACAAAAGCCATTAGTCTCATAAATATGCAACATACCTTCACGCGTAGCGCATCAAACAAATATTCGCCCTCGGAAGTCCAGTGTACAATTTCATTTTGGGCGTTAGTGAGAGACTTTAGTCCGTTTTTTGTAGTTGTTTTTCATTCCGAGAAACATATTTTAATTTCTGGAAAATTCTGCAAGTAACGTTTCTTGTATGCAGTCTCTCTAGAATATGAAGCGACATGAAATTTTTTCGTGGGAGTTTTAGTAAACTACTGTGATCGGCATACTTTTGCTCTTCACTAAGTAGTCGAGCTTTTTCGAGGGACCAACTCGAAATGCTAAATCATGTATAAGGTGGGAGAGGGAGAGGAAAAATTTAGAGATGAAATTCAGAGGAAACTTAGATGCCCAATTCAGCAATTTGAACCAGTGTAGATAAACAGTGGGGCCGAAGACTCGAGAAGATAAAAAGAAAAGTTTTAAAATTCAGGATTTTGCATAGATGTTATCCTGCTCATTATATTCTGTAGTGGTGATCAGTTTCTCCCCGTGATTGGTTGTAATTAACCAAGTTGTTAGTGGTCACATTCTACTTAAGCCGGTTGTAGATATTAAGCTAGAGATTTGACTTCGATCTTTCCTGTGTGGTTTGTGCTAAGACATGTCTTCTTCACACAGTATTCACCTGTTGCCTGTGGGCCACTTCTATCTGTACAGTCCATCTTGGTGTTATTTTTGCTACGATGAACCATGAATAACAGACTCACTTATGTGAGTCCAAAGATCCAAGTGAGCTACGGTAAATTTTCTTGCTTTAGTGCCATTGCTTACACATTGTTATTATTCCCCTACGTTCCGAATGAAATACAAGGCTCCAACAACACATCTCCACTTTGTTCTGTTTGATGCTCTCCCATTAAACTGGGTCAACGATTGCCCATAATCTCTTATCTCCAACTCACATGATCTCCTCTATGTCACCCACTTGTCGCCTACCATTGGGATTCCAGTGGAGCTATTGCATACAACGCATTGTCATTTGAAGACTTCCGCGATGTGTGCCCAATTAATCTCCATTTTATCCCATATTTTTGTAGGGCGATCGACTGTTGGATACTATACTGCTAGAGCTTCTTGTTGCCAATTGTTTCTGTCCGCTTGACCTTCATTGTGGAGCCAGCGAAGGCAGCTGTGATTTGTTGGAAATCCTTTTCATGACATGCCAAGCTTTTGACTCATATAGAAAGACTGGCTCAACCAACTTTGGTGTTGAAAATACGAATCTTGTTTCCTATGCTGAGCGCAAAAGATTTCCAAACTGGTTATACGTTGATGAAGGCGTATCTTGCCTTTCCGATTCTGACTTTGACATCTTCATCGGTGTTGTCACCTGTTGTCAGTCTCGTCTCATAAACC